ATAATAAAAGAACATATCTAAATGATGTTTCCACAACAGCCCATATCAGTTTCATCAGCGCCATGTTCTGTATTATGTCCTTACTGGGAATAAAACTCAAATACCCCACATCATGCATTCGCAATACCCAATAAACCATCCGACCGCTTAGCCCTACCAGCAAGTCCTTAAAAAGCGATAGTGTACACAGGACACGCAGAGAGGGTGTGTTTTTCAGGTGTCCAACCTTGGAGAGAGGCGCATGTAGTCCATGGCACCAGGAGCGAGAGTCGCGAAGCTACTCTGTTGTATCAGATACTGCTGCCTAGGTGCTGCTGATGTCGTCGTGTCGAAGGATGTTTCTAACCGTTCCACTAGAGGAAGCTGTCGAATAAGAAATGTGCATAACCATATCGCATGCATACCGTATCGTACCATATGTGACCCTGGACCACAAAACCAGTCGCTGGGGTATATTTGTAGCAATAACCAAAAATACATTGGATGGGTCAAAATTATCGATTTTTCTTTTATGCCAAAAACCATTAGGATATTAAGTAAAGTTCCATGAAGATATTTTGTAAATGTCCTACCGTAAATATATATAAAACATGTATTATCATTAGTAATATGCATTGCTAAGGACTTCATTTGGACAACTTTAAAGGCGATTTTCTCAACAACAAAAATATATATATTTTTTTTGTTTGTTTTTTTTTTTTGCACCCTCAGATTCCAGATTTTCAAATAGTTGTATCTCTGCCAAATATTGTCCTAACAAACCATACATCAACGGAAAGCTTATTTATTCAGCTTTCAGATGATGTATAAATCTCAATTTCAAAAAATGGACCCTTATGACTGGTTTTGTGGTCCAGGGTCACAGATGTGATACTATTTTATGCTGTGTTTCTTCAGTTTTTTATTACATGAAGGTCATATTAAAACGGTTGTAGAAACGTTTTACCAGGTCTCCATCATATATTTTTTCTTATATTTCAAATGCCTTTTAAAGTGACAGAAATGAAAATTCTGTTATCATTTACTCACCCTCAAGTTGTTCCAAACCTGCATGAGCTCCTTTCTTCTGTTGAGTATGAAAATGTTGGTAACCAAACAGTTGATTGTAGCCATTGACACAGGTTTGGAACAACTTCAGAGTGAGTAAATAAGGACAGAATTTTCATTTTTGGCTGAACTATCCATATAAGTATAGAATTTATTGTTTAATGTTGTCCCATCTGCAGACTTTCAATCTTAAAATATGAAAATCAATCATAAATATGAAATATTATAGACAATGAGAATAGACATCATAAAATATAATAATCATAAACTATTTCAATATTTATTGTATGAGAATGATCTATTTTCACAAATTGCAAAGGTTCCCATTTTTATGTAATTTCCACCACTTTTTGGCACTAATAAAAAATTCTAAATTTTAATTATTTAATGAGGAGATATAATCATGGTAAATATCACAATATTTGATATAATAGCTTAAATAACTTCATTTTAATGTTAAAACCCCATATCCACATACTGGCAGAATATTGAGACCCAATATATAATGATCCTGAATTCTGTTACTTGTATGAATGTTCATAATCTTTCTTTGAAGATGGCTGACATTGCTTTATGGCAAAATTAATGTTACATCTGTCCAAAATGTTTACTTTTAGTTTTATATTGAAATTTTTTTAAGAAGTTTTTTTTTTCTTTGTAAGAATTTCCTTATTATCTCCTAAAAACGTTACACTATGTGGAAATATTCTCTTTATCAAACCCTCTTGATCAATGCTTTATATATTGGAACATTTAAACTGACAACAGGACCATGTCTTTCCTTTAATCATTGAAATCACAAAATAAAGTTGAATCCTCTACTTCTAAGTTTAATTAGAAAAAAAAATCAGTCATGGAAGATTTGAACTCACAACCTAAAAACAAAACACATTCCTCTGAGCTGTAAAACAGTATTCATACTGTATAAGGGCCTGAGCCCATAGTGCCTACAGTTGCCCATGCCTGCAGCTATACAAGAATTATATGGCAATAAAGACAACCATAAGCCAAAGCCTGTGGTAACTATGTAAATAGGCACACTCATTGAGTGATGGCTGTTGGTGCGGTTATCATTATTACAGCCTGTTTAATCATCTTCCCAGTTGTTATTACATGAGGTGACTTGAACCAGTAAATAATATAATTCACAAATGGAATCCCACTGTACCTGCCAGTAACTTTCCAAGAGCCATGTATGTCAACCTGAGATGAAAAAACTGTTTCATCAAGCCTTCATCTGTGAACATGCCTCTGACTAGGGCCTTAAAATTGACAGGGGTCAAAAGCAAGCTCAGGTGAACTTTACAATATAAATGGAGATTTTCCAAGTCAAAGAGATTTTACAACACAATTAAGTCACTTTGGAAGCACATACAATATGTTACTATTCTAAAACTGTATCTCAGTTGTATGAATAAAATATACACATTTTCCCCATGTTTAACTCACACTAAAATCTCATTTAAGGTTTGGCTGAGCAACAAATAAAATAAATTCCTGGTCTCATTTCTGATATTTTGTCTTGGTTTTCCAAAACTTTATCAATATATCATTCTACAAGTATTTCATAAATAAAAGACTACATTTAGGTTTAAGTAGGAGTCTTTATTGTTTTCAGTGTTATGTGTGTGATTAATTATGAACAAAGTGTAGCAGGCCAAAACACATGGGAAACTTTAAGTTCAAAATTACGAGTTATAAATAGATCACCATCTGTGTCTGTGTAGTGCCATCACCCCTCAGATCACTGTATGCTAAAGTCCTATATATTCGATCCATGGAGCTGAGAGTATGGAAATGAGAGATTCCATGGTTAATTTTAAGTGATATCTCAATGTATTCATTAACAAACACCCCCATAGCATATCTATTGCAAATAATTTTCTCAATAAATATTTTGAGATTTCATTGTGTGGGCTGGTTTTCTATACAGAGATAAAGCCTAGTGTTCGACTGGGATGGTTTATAAAAGAATTCCTGCTGAAACTTCAGTCCAAGACCAGGGTTTATTTATATCCATAATGAGGTCAGAGAAACTCTTACAGCCATTGACATATGCTCGCAAGTACAATAAGCAACAATTCACTGTTGAAAAATGTAAAAGAACAAATTTATGTTTTAATGTGTGCTTAAGTGTCTGTCTATTTAAATCTTATTTCCATTTTCATTGTCTTCCTGAATTAATCTGAATCACTCTGGCTTTATACTTTATATGTGTATGACTTTTTTTTTCATCATCTGTCAATTGCTTCAAACAAGATTATTTTATCATCAACACACATGCAACGGTTAATCATTTCTATACAAATGCGTGAACTGTATTGCATTCCATTTCTAGCTAATTTTCTCGAATCTCTCTCTCATTCTCTCATCCTTGCTGCCTCTATGATTGGGTGATATTTTTATAAAAACTAGGTCCTGAGGCCACCTGGGGAAAACAGCATCAAATTCAGGCCATGTAACAAACCCGGGCCGAGGAAAAAGGACTTCGACAATGATGCGTCATATCACAACTTTCCACAAACAGAAACAAAACACAGGTCATGACATAGTGAAACAGGACTAGCAGCTGAGCAGCACAGGCTACAGACACCCGTCTCATTCATCAACTCTGGATTTACATGTAAAGCAATTTTCCCGATTGGAAAGGAATATCAAAGAAATGGTAAGTGTTCCTGGTTTTTATGCCTGCCAAAACTCTTTCTTCTGCCCTTTTTTTTCACATAACTGTAGTATAGTGGGGTTAGTGTACGACAATTTTCTCATTGATACTGATTATAAGTGGTTAGGAAAGCAAAAGAGATCTCTAAGAATAAACCTTGTGACACATCTATTTAAAAAACCGGTCAATTTCTCAGATCATCGGGTTGTTGCTGTTTCAGAGGGACATGGCATAACCGTGTAAGCTATTCAGACCTGCAGCACAATCTCAGAGAGCATTTAATTCCGATTTATATTGCTTAGCAATAAACACAAGTACACCCTTGCTGGAATGTTTTTTATTATACATCAGCCAATCAGTTTTAAATGGAACTGCATGCTTCAGCTATGCTGATTGTCACTCTGAACAGCTCAGGAGAGATAATCTACTTATGTAGCTACAAAATGCCATCTGTTAGAGGCTTCATATGGTCACACAGTCCACACCAAGACAAACAGGAGGAGGCAAAATGTCTACAGCAAAATGGTTTATCATGAATTTTTATGATATTGGCAGTTTACAGTGTCAGTAGTGAACAGTGTTTGTGCCTTGTTCTCTTCTTTCTCTTGCATTGTGTTCAGATTTGTTTTGTTAATGACATTTATCTGCATGCATGGCTGTTTTCAGTCTTCCACTCCTCCTTTGCTTTCAGCTGATTTTCTTTTCCTTTGTCCTATGCTCCACTCGACTCATCTCAGAAGCACTAAACTGGTGACCTACTTGTAATTGTCAGGGAGATTAAACTCCGATATGGCATCTATGTGGCCCAAAATGCTGGAAACATGTTTCATTGCATGGATGATCGGTTTTGAGATCCCAAATTTATTTATTTTTATTTATTTTTTTTAGTTAGTTAATATTTCAGATCCAAAAAAGAGAAAATATGTGTTTAGACTCTACCTTCAAATTATTAAAATGTTTAAAAAAAATTTCTTCACTCAAGAAAGCTTTGGGGATAATATCACAGTCAGCGTCTTTCATACATTCGAATCACATCATTTAGGAAAAGTATTTTTGTCTTTATTCAAATACGTAATGTCTATAATAGGTTACATTAGCCCCTAGCCCTTCTCTGGATTTAGCTGTTACTTTATGGACGACATTACTGACTTCCCACGGTTGTCCAAGTATTTTTTTTTCTCTGCCCCTCCGTGCGCGCGCTTGCCTTACTTGCGAGCACTGGAAAGAAGCAGCGGGTATGAAGCTGAAGGAGGAGAGCGCGTGTGGGGATAAGGTTTGTTGAGCTGGTTAACCTCAAGGAGAAAGACATGTCGACTTCGGAGAAAGGAATGACGACGAATAGTCTAACAAGTCTGTGATTGTTTGGTCATGGTTTCTCAGATCTTCCGTAAGTCGCAATGAATGAAGTTCAGGTAGGTTTAAACTCGTTTATCCGGTCGTGTTGTTTTCGAAAACGGAAAGATAAACTTCCGTACACAAACTTCAACTAGTCAGTCTTCATTAGGATTGAAGTCGGTTAAAGCAGTCAATGGGAAAATATCAGCTGTCAAAAAAAGAGGGATGTAAATATGGTCATACGATGTACTTGAACACCTGCTACCTGTAAAAAATGTAAATTTAAAAAGGAATTTTAGGACTGTAAAGATGCTACAATAAAGACTTGTCAATTGGTTAACGGTAAGGCAAATACCACTGCTTTAAAATATGCACTTATATAATGAGTACTTACTTTTAATGTGTTTAAAACGTAAACAGTATGGAAGTAAGCATAGTTTGTGTGGTTAACAGTGTTCTCTGTCATGTTATTAAAGAGCAACATTGCTGGAGAGGCCTTCCATTGTCCATCTGTGCTATCAGTACATTTTAAAATAACAAAATATTTTATTAGATTATTAAGAATGGTATATTATTCAGTTTCTGCCATTTTTACAGTTCAATTTAACAAATGTGTGTGTGTGTGTGTGTGTGTGTGCATTTACAGTGCAAAAGAGTGTTTGAGGGATAAATAGTTGCTGTGAATTACAGACTGTTGTGTTCATTTCTCTTTGCTGTAGGTAAGAGCGGTTGGCACTCCATCAGTCACTCGGCACCGTCTGTATCTACAATCTCAGCCAGTGTGAATGAGGACGTACCATGCACCTGGATATACGCTGCTTTTTTAGTCCTAGTTTTATCTATTTTACTTACTGAGACCTTCAAATCTGTTCTTTTAATCTGTGATCATGATTAAAAGTGAAAACAAAAGTGAACGGGCGCTGAGAAGTGCATCTCCTCACAGGAATGCCTATAAATCAGACTTCCATTCCATCAAATGCTCATTTGATGGGAGCGCATCAATCAGCTCGACTTCACCCTTCTCCAATGGAGGCAGTGACACCCAAGGCAGACCGACAGGCAACAAAGTGAGCAAAATAAAAAATATATTCTTGCAAATGGATGGAAAACAGAATCAAGACAGTCCCAATATCAGCAAACCCACGTCACCCAAATTTCCACTGGATTCCACCCTTTACAGGTCCAGCCTGAGTAGTGTTACCAGTCTAGATTCAGCCTCCTTTGAGGCACAGAAAACAGAGGATGTTTCCATTGACAAAGCAGCACTAGCTGAGAAGTTCTCAATGACCAGGAAGCTGTTTGAGAGCGGCCTTAAAGAGCAGTCTCCAACAGAGAGATCTGGCTCTCCTAAAGTTATCTGGCCTCAACTAGTGGAGAGACAAGACAGGAAAGTTTCAGTTGCTGGAGAGAGAAATGACAAAACTAAAGAGGTAGAGAAACAGGCAAAAGAAAGCGAGGACAAGGAAAAAGGAAAAAGTGAAAGTGAGACACCACTACATAAGCTGAATATGTTAATGAATGCCGGGCCAATATCCAGACGTCTGGAGAGTTTTATGTTGGACAGTGATAGTGAATCGCTGTCAGCTGCTCCTTCCACGGAATCCCATAGTCCCATTAGTCATTCCCAGTCACCCTCCGCTGCTAGCGACCATTCGGATCCCCCTTCATCACCAGACAGCTGTAGTTCCCCTACCTCTTATTCACTATGGGCTGATTCTCCTGCTGAAATGTGTTTGCCCAAGTTAAATGGTTCAGATTCACACAGTACCCCTTTGAATGGAGTCTGTACAGAGAAGACATTACATAATACTAGTTCCACAGTTGAAGAACATATTAAGTCCTCAGAAGATACAGTCTCATCAGAAGCCACTCTTCTGTATACAAGCGAAAAGTTCCACCACTTGTCTGCAGGGAGTACCACTAGTCATGCATCTTTAGCTGAGGATCCTACATTTCAAGAGCAGCAAGGTGAAGGCAAGAACACTGAGAAGGTTCCTGGTTTGTCCACGGTCAGAGCTGAGCTGGTGGTGGTGAAGACCGAATCATCTGAAAGCGAGGGCAATGAGGAGGAACATGTTGAGGATGATGTTTTTGAAGAGGCTGGAAGGGCGAACCAATCCCCAAATCACAATTCTGAGAGGGTGTTAACCAACAGCGAGGAGCTCCAATTAACATTCCTTGGGAAGGAATCAAAACAGAGTATTAGGGAACATGAGGAGGGATGGACGGCGTGTGAGGAATCTGTACAGACTGGAAGAGAGGAAGACCATAGAAGGGAGGGAAAGTTTCTTGAGGAGAACATAATGGAGAAGGAAGACGAGGAGGAGGAGATAAAAGACAATGAGGAAGTAGAACTAAAGACAGACCGAACTGAAGAGGAGGCAGTACTGGGGACTGTTAGTGAGCAGAAAGCTACCAATGTTGAAGATAAGGAACAGCAGGATGAACAGAGAGAAGGAGAGGATGAGGAAGAGGATGAGGGAGTAGAGGAAGCTGTTGAAGCTTTAGAGGAGGATGATGAGGAACGAGAGATGGAAGATGTCTTAACAGGAAAAGAGAGGCAACAGCAAGATGATCAGGGATCGATGGGGAAGAGATCTTTAATTTGTGGAATTGAGAATGCTGCCTTTGTAGATGACAAGGACAACAGGACCGATTTGGAATGTGAAGTGAAGGAGGAATTCCAGGAATCTGAGGAACTTCCAGGACTCTCTGTTGAGGAAGATCCTACTCCAAAGAGAAAGATCAAGTTCTCTACAGCACCAATCAAGGTATGTCTCACCCAATCTTACTTTATATTTAGAAGAAACTGTATTCATATTTAGTACTTTAACTTATTTTTTTATTCAGCCTTAGCATGTATTTGTTGGTCCCTCTGAAATGGTTTAGAAGGTTTCCGTTAGAGCCTGAAGGAATTAGCCTGCCGGCAGTGACCCAAATCTGTGTTTGCACCTCTAGCAGATGCCCGTGTCTCAATTCGGTCAGCACCTTAGCTCATACTTTCATGATGCATGTTTATGGTGGTACTATTGCAGCTATTATTCACGTTTATGACAAGATCCTACTTGCTTTAAGGTATTTGGCACCTGTGTCCTGTATTTGTTTTGCCCCAAAACACAAACAAACTTTACTTTTAGGGAGAGATAAATGTTATAGCCGACTTGTTTCACTACTTTATTTATTCTTATGAATTGTGACTTCGTCAGGGTTCCAGGTACAGTGTAAAATACCTTCTACCCAGAACATTTAAGATAACAGCTCTCAACAAAGGTGCTGTCTGAGCTTGCATCACTTCAGGCATGTAATATTCTGTCTCATGTTCTGACAGGTTTTTTTTTTTTCACAGAGAAATGTTTGAATTAGGCTAGTTACATATCTTAGGGCTTTACCTCTGGTCTCAGCTGAGCCTCGTAATTTGAAACTTAATGTAACAGATAAACAAGATGTTCTGAAATAGAAAATTTATGATAAAGGGATCATAACGTGTTTCCTCAGTAAATCTGTATATAGAAACTGACTGTTGGGTCAATTTAATCTGTTAGCATACAACTGATTGTAATATTGAGTGCAGACTCACAGACCACCCACAGCCCATTGACACCATCAGATGCACACTGCACTCAAGCACTACACATAAATTGACAATCTGATTGGCTGGTTTCTAAACCATTTACCAAGGTATTGCATGATACAATAAACGCTTTTAAGAACTAGCCTAATCACTGGATTTGCCAAAGTTTATCAGTGGTATAAAATCTCTGCCACATCAGTATTTTTGTCTTGTTTTCCAGTACAAATCATTCGTAAATCAAGAGGTGTTTTATTTGAAAACCAAAATAATGTAAGATAAGTCTTTTTTTTTTTTTTTAACTCTATGAAAGTTAAGTGAGTTTATGCTTAAAATGAGGAAAAATAGCAGCCAATGGGGTAAGAAATAAATAAATCAAAAGCCATATCACCCTATAGCCGAAGACTGGTTGCTCACTAAAGCTAAGCAGGGATGACTTGAGCTTGGTCAGTACCTGGATGGGAGACCACATGGGAAAACTTAGTTGCTGCTGGAAGAGGTGTTAGTGAGGCCAGTAGGGAGTGCTTGCCCTCTGGTCTGTGTGTGGGTCCTAGTGATGGGGACACTACACTGTAAGTAGGTGTGGTCATTAAAAATCTCATGGCACTTCTTGTAAAGAGTATGATTGTAACTCTGGTGTCCTTGCCATATTGACTCGTTGGCCCTTATCAGTCTTGGTGGTTGAATTGGCTCCATCACTCTACTTCTCTCCACCTATAGCTGTTATGTGGTGACCATATTGGCTGCCGTCGCACCATCCAGGTGGATCCTGCACACTGGTGGTGGTTGAGGAAATACCCCCAGATCCCATTGTAAAGTGCTTTGAGTATACATTAGTATCTAAATGCACTATATAAATGCTTCATTCATTCATTCATTAATTCATGCAACAGGTTTTCTTACCCCAATTTTTTTTAGATGCTTGATAGCAGGTAAATCAGATATCAACAATAGTATTTGTATATGACTGAATTAAATGTTAATTTTTATTATTACTTTTGGACATACATTTTTGTGTACATTTTGAACACAAAGTCTATATATATATATATATATATATATATGTATGTGTGTGTTTTTGTTAACTATTTAAAATAAATCTGCCCCAGGCAGTACATAAATACAAAACAAACTATAATTGGTCATATTACATGTCTTTGGCTACAGGAGACTAATGCTAGTCAGTACAGATTTTCAAATTTTAGTCATATAACAGATCAAAGGAAACCACAAAACTCTTTGATCTTCATCTGTCTGAGATCAGGCACTGGGTTGCATCAAACAGAAAGTGCTTTGTGCTGTCATTCATGTGTCTGACTTTGGGACCTCTTGAACGTGGAGTGTTATAAAAGGATCATGTTAAGGGAAGGAAAGGTCTTCTGTGTATGTCTGTGTGATTGGATATAAATGTAAATCATCTCATCATCGGATCTGTACCAATTCAATGCTGTGGAACTCATCTCATCATCGGTCTGTACCAATTCAGTGCTGTGGAAGCTCATGCCTTTGCATATTAATCAGAGTATAAATCTAATATACTAAACAATTGATCAAAGGAAATAAAGAAAGACATATTAAGTGTGTTACAGTAGGTGGCAAAAGCCAAAACCAGTCACTAGAGGCTGTATGTGTGTAAGGGTGTTTCATTCCCTGTGGACCTTGCAGTTGTTCTCTCAGCACTCTTAAAAGATCTCCTAAGTTTGGAAACCAGGTCATGTATTTCTTCCGAGCCTGGTAGACTGAAGACACCATGGATTTATAGTCTGGGTCGGAACACATAGCAAATCAGTAACATTTCAGATTACCATAGCTCAATGTTCAATGCGTCACCCTCCCCAACATCCCTTCCTTCTTGGTGTGTCCTCGAGCGTGTAGAGTAGGTCAGTGTCAGTTTGTTTGCTGTGTATTTATAGAAGTGGGATGAGTGGATGGTAACTAACATTTGTCTTACACTATGATGCATTTTCTCTCTAATCAGGAAACTTGGGTCTCCCTTTGTAAGCATAATGGTTAGCATTCCTACATTTTTTGTTTCTACATTTTTGTTTCCTCACCTCAGGATGCGCCTGTTTCTGTATTTGTGGAGCTCTTGTGTTTACTCATCCTGTTTCCCATATATAGGATCAACAGGAAGTGAGTTGTATGTCTCATATAGGTTGTGAATGAGGATTTCCTTTCAACAGATGTTTGTTTTGGACATCTTTTGAATTTGATGAGACAATGGGCTTTGAATATTATCTCATAACTTTGTTTTTTCTCTTCTAGACAAAATATGAAGAGTTCAGATGCAAAAGCCTCTAAGTGCCATCTGAAATTTTCTTCTAAAATTTGCATTTTTATCAGGCTCCAATGTTTAGGTTCAGTAATTTTACTTTAATGGCAATGTATATGTCCTTTTCTATGGCATTAAAGTGAAATAAACAAACATAAATATAAAAGCCTGATAAAAATGCTCATTTTAGATGAAAATTTCAGACGGCACTTAGAGGTTTTATCATCTGAACTCTTCATATGTTGTCTTCAAAATCCAAAAATGAAAATTCTGCCATTTACTTACCTTCATGTCCTTCCAAACCTGCATTAATTACTTTCTTCTGTGGAACACAAAAGAACATATTTTAAGAACTGTTTTTTTTTTCTTTTTGTCCATACAGTGGAAGTTAATGGTCACCAAAACTGTTGGTTTCCATTAATTTCATTAAAAAATGTAGGATTTTAAATCCCATTAAATTACTAAAGGCCAGGATTTCTCAATTATTTGTTGCTGACTTCTTTTTATTGCACACCAACTTGTTAACAGCCCTTTTAAATGCTGCCAAAGGATATGTTTCTTTATTGAAACAGTTTAGTATTTCATTATCTTAATATTTATTGATCATGGTGCTTTTATGTTATTCCAACTGCGGGATTCAAGTTTGACGCTGGACCTAAATGCTGTGACATTTGTTGTTTTTTCCTTATTGTAAGTCATAGTTCACTGACAGACTCTCTCTCAGTCCCAGGAAGAAATAGTCCTGTGTTCTTGCTAAAATGCCACAGCTTAAAGCAGTGAGAGAGGGAGGGGGGGGGAGATAGAAAGAGACACTGTGCTTGAGCATGTTTGGGAAGAAAAGGACATTGTTCAGAGGTGCACACTTACTCCATGACAACTAGAGTCGCTAGACAGAAGAAAGCGGAGAGAGAATAAATGAAGGGAAGGAAAAATGGGATCGTAGTAGAGAAGGAAAGATGAAGGGGAAGTATGGATGGAGGAAGCAAAAGTAAAATGGTAAATGAAAAGACAAATGGATAGGAAATACTGTTACTTTGCCATGTCTAATTGATTTGGAGGCATTGTTTTCCTTCTGTTTAATTCTACTGTTGTCCTCATGTCCAAGTCTGGTGCCAGTATTAGGAATGCATACCATTGACTGACCTGCTTTTTAACTGCCTATGCCAGCCTAAACCAGCCACTGACCAAATGCTGTGGACATGTAATTTAGCTAGTGGCTTCTAAAGGGAGCGATCACTGTTACCTTTTTATGATGGAATTTTGCAGGCGAAATGCAGTCATCTCAATAGGTATCTGCATCAGAAAACAATTAACATCACAAATTTTTCATTGGATTCAGGTTTGTTGAACTTTGAACATACAAATTAACCATTTTGACCAACCAATATAAAACTGCTTAGTTTGAAAGTGACCTCTAAGTGCTTCATAATGCATATTGACAATGGACTTTCTTTGCCTGTGAAATTTCACAAAAGTAGGCTACATGACCACTTTTTAATACTGCAAAATGATTTTTTTGTGCATTATTTGTAGCATGTGTGGAATTAAGAATTGTATTGGTCACTCTTTTTTTCTTGTGTTTACAAAGATTGGGAACTGGAGCTTTCAAGATTGAAAAAGGGATGCAAAAGCTTCATGAAAATATCATAAAAGTAGTCCATATGACTGTTGTGCTGTATTCCAAGTGTTCTTTCTTAAATAAAAAACCCAAAATTGAATTCATTATTTCCTGAAAATCCTGACATCTTTCATTTCTCTTCTTGACATGTGGTTGAGAGAAATAGCTGTGTCTGATATGTCAACTAATCACTCTTGACTCCGATCTTTTCAATGAATCGGCTGGTTCACAAAACTGGTCTGAATGATTTGTGCACAGATTAGTCAGACCCATTTCTCGAGTTCAGCTTAATGAATGAATAATCCATTCTCAGACTCAGCTGTCAACAGCTCACTGAAAGAAAAAAAAATCAGTGAGTAATAACTTAAATTTCAGTCTGTTCTTCACACAAAGCAATTGTCTCTCTTCAGAAGACTTGGAATACAGTGCGGAAGTCTAGGCAACTTGTGTGTTTTGAAGCTTGAATGCCTGAGTCATTATTCATCAGGATGGGCCAAATTACGAGTCGGTATTAACATGTAAATGTGGGCAGTCATAGACAGGAAGATTTGAAGGAATCTGAATGACTCATTTTTTCATAAATGATCTGTGTGGGCTTTGTCTTATCAGAACATTATTTTACATCAACATTAATTGTGAGATCAATAAATCTTAGATTCAGCTATACAGGGTGATGGCCTTTGTGTGGGTGTGCACAGGTGTGTTATTTAATGTAGGCTATTTCCTGTCCTGCAGGTGTACTTTACCTTCTCTAATGAAGATTATGATCGAAGGAATGATGATGTGGACCCTGTGTCTGCATCTGCTGAGTACGAGCTGGAAAAGAGGGTGGAAATGATGGATGCTTTACCTATAGACATTCAGAAAGGTTTCTTTTAATGTTTTATCACAAAATGTGTTTCCCCTGGCTTGAAATTCAATTAACTGTAGAAGTACTGTATTTGAGCTGCCTGTTTTGATGTGTAGGAAATGATGGCCTGGGAATCAGTATAATTGGTATGGGAGTTGGGGCAGATCAAGGACTGGAGAAGCTGGGAATATTTGTGAAGACCATCACCGAGGGAGGTGCAGCTCACCGGGATGGACGGTAAAAACTTGTCTTTGACTTAGACTTATGAAATCAATAAAACCTTCTCTGTGTGATAGCAAACAATGTGAGTAACAGATGCTGATGATTCTGTATAAAACAAGCATTGGTGGTTTGTCTTAACAGAATTCGGGTAAATGATCAGATTGTGGAAGTAGATGGAATCAGTCTGGTTGGCGTCACTCAACTCTTTGCTGCTACCACATTGAAGAACACCAAAGGTCTGGTCAAGTGAGTATCGACACAACAAGCTAAACATTAAGTGACCTGTGTGAAGTTGTAGCTAAAGTTTACTAAGGTTGTGGCTTCAGGCCCCACCAGGAACAAGTTGTGAGCTCGCTCCATTATGCCCTTGATCGAGGCAACTCACTCCATTTTGCTCTAGAGGGATTTTCACTGTATTATGATTACTGTAAGTTATGAACAATGAACATGCATCACCTATTAAGGAGGAAATGTCTGGTAATGATTCACCAGGGCAAATCTAATCTCATAGTCAGTATAATACCAGCAACGGTCATAGTCCTAGAACTGTGTGAAGGAATTTTATGTCCTCCAATGCAGGTTTCTCATTGGTCGGGAGAAACCAGGAGTGGAGAGCGAAGTGGCCCATCTGATCAGCGAGACTCTACAACACGAGGCAAGCCCTGAAAACCAGGAGCCAAACGATGAAGACCACCACAAACCCCAGAACCATCTGCTACAGGATGAAAAAACGATTTCTCGAATCCATGACCAACAGGAAATTGAACCACTGGCTGAAAAGAGTGTTGTGCAACAGGTATGTGAACATATAAAGATAAGCTTGATGTCATGAATAAATGAGTCGCTAATCATTGTTGGGCCCATAATATGACTGATACAGAAAAAGACCGAAAAGAAGCAGGGGGCGGAGGATGCATCAAATGACTTGGCACAAGAAGTGTTTTCACAACTGAGCAGCCAAGGCATTGATCTACCTGAAGATATCGATCCTGCTGAGCTAGAACAAAAATTCAAAGAGGTATAATGTGAATTTACATATTCTGTACTCTATTCATCATTGTGAAATGCTTCTTTCTCACTGGAATTGTCTCTTATAGCTGCAGATAAAACACAGTGTCACAGTAACAGAACTCAATCAGTTGAGAGAAAAGGTTGGATGCTTATAAAAATGCTAATTTCTTGTTTAGTAACTTGTGTGCCTGCAGAGTTATTTAACTCTTTGTGTTTGCGATTTCAAAGCTGCAAGTGAGCGAAGCCGAACGTAAGTCTTGGGAGACTCGAGGTGCAGCTCTTGAAAGGAGTGTGGAAGAGAGCAGGGAGCGCATTGAAAAGTTGGAAAAATGCTGGCTTGATGCTCAGGCCCTCTGTAAAACCATCAACCAGCGTTTGAGTGAAGCCCAGAGTCAAAATTATTCCCTGCAGCTCAAATACAATAAGACCATCACGCTTCTACAGGAGCATCAACAGAGGTGTGTTTGAGCATGTTATGTGTTGTCATAGCAGACTCTTTCTGGGAAGTTTGGTCAGGTGTTCTTGGAAATGTACTGATTTGTGAAAGCCTGTATCAAGGTGAATCATTAGAAATCCTAATGCTCCAAAGAGAAATACATGAGACAAGAAAAATGAAGAGAAATTAATTATCATATTTTGTTAACGGTGCAGCTGTTCTTGACTTTTAGAGAAGCTGAAGGTGCAAGGAAAGAGGCGGAGCTGAAGAGAAAACTGGAGCAAAAGGAGAGAGAGTACAAGAGCACTGTGAGGCAGTTGCAGCATAAGGTAAAACTACATCCTGTTCATGGTAATTTCTCATTTTGAACAAAATGAGATTACAAATATGAATATCTTTCTGATCTTGTGAGTGTTTCGTGATGTGGCTTCACTGAATGTATGAATGTGCTACACTTGCATAAGGTTCTGTAAGTGATATTAGCTGTTCTGTAACTTCCAGAGTGTTCGGCACAAAAATTTGGTCAGATTTTCGCATGCGATTTGTCTGTTCAGACCAATGCATGAAAAACCAACAGATGAGCTGAATGAAAATGCAAATTCACTGTCTGACATTAGGTGGCACTTTTAGAATAGCAGAAATACCCCGCTTACTACAGTACTCAAAAATCTATGCAACTTTCCGTTTCAGACGCCCACTTGTCACAGAGAGGAAATTAAGTCAAAAAGTATTTACATGTTTTGAAACATCATTTTGTATTCAGTATATTTGTAATCACTCTGCTGTTTAGCCAACAACACCAAATATAAGAGTACAGAGGCAAGAGAGCTGATTCTGGATTCTTCCTCCGCTATTTACTGGGTCTATCTCAACATCCACACTTGCGATTCTAAGCTGGATTTAGTGCGCGTCAAGGGCACTGAGCTTTGGCATTTCTCAGACCTGGGACAGTCTTGCACACTTATTTCCTGTTGCATACACATGGACAAGACAGCAAATGCGGGTACTGGGACAAGCACACTTTCGACAAAATACAGCATCATCTCTGGTCTTATGAACAAAAGAGTTAATCTTATTGGTTGGCCAGCTTTATTTACAGATTTTAAAACACCTCATTAGCAGATTTGTCACACTGAATTTTCACACTGAACATTTGTCTTGGTCATTCATTCATTGTGGCTTTTAGTCACTGATGGTTAGGATTGGTGTTGCACATAATTATTAAACTATTAAACAGATATTATTAATTGAACATATATTAGTTATCCATGCAAAATCATAGCAGAAAAATATAGAGCATTTTCTACCTTATGCTTATCCTTCTATGGCGCTAACAATGCCAAGGTTATGGGTTGTTCAAATCCCAGGGAAAGCAAGTAAGACCTGTAATCTGAAAAAAAATAAAAATGTGTACCTTGAATGCAGTGTAAGTTGCTTTGGATAAAAGCGTCTGCTAAATGCATAACATTTAGTCATCATAGAAACAAAGATAACGTCTCTAGGTTACGTATGTAACCATGGTTCCCCGAGGGAACGAGACGCTGCATCGAGATTCGCTTTGGGAACGCCCCTGCGTGACCGCGTTCTGAAGCACGTGTAAAATCAGTCCAATGGAGCAGCGAGACGTCACGAGTGGGGTGACGTGATCGCCAGGAAGTATAAAAGCGCATCCGGCAGAGCGCAAACCAGCTTCGATGAAGTAGCGCCTGCAGGGA